TTCTCCATGTTTGCATAATTGGGATTCCCCTCTGCTGTTCTTAGATCTCAGTGAGTCCCTACTTGATGTTTACTTCCTTCCTCACTGAAATTGAAAAGATCTTTGGGGTTTCTGTCTATACTTTGAAATTCCTGGTTTTAGTTCAGACTTCCTTTAACATGTCAAAATCAGTATATATTCACAGTCTACTGTCATGGCAATAAAATGTTCACTGTTAACAGCGTTGTCCTCTTGTGATTTCCTCCCTGTGTCCATGGTCATCTCTAACTAATCAAGCATAGAAACAGTATGTTGTTAGTGTCCTTTGTGGTAAAAAGTTGCATTTTATATAATTTTTAGTTTTGACATCTCATGGTAACCAAGATTGCTCAGTATAAATATTTAATACATGCAGTCTAGAGTGAAACTTAATATAGACTGAACTTAACAAATGAAGAATCATCAATGTGCAAGTGTCTTTCAGGGGAGGGACAAAGGCATGGAAAAATGAGTTGGTTAATGGCTAACTGGGAAACGTCTGCAGTTTTTTTCACCTGTACTTGGGGTATTAGAAAATTTGACCAAAGGAAGAAGTAGGAAGCACTTTACAGAGTTGTAGCAGAGAGTGAATCTGTAGAATAACCATGACAGTTTTACATATGCGTCTTAGTATATGGAAAGGCTCCTTTCCCTTTGAAGAAAGAGCATAGGTATAAGTGGGTGCCTTTGACACCCAAACCCTGTCCTGAATATGGTACGTCCTTTATGTGCACTTGTGTTAAGATTATGTAAAAGCCATGATTCTCTTCCCAGTGGTTCAGTTTGTATCAAAGCAAAAATATCCTCACCTGGCGGTTCCTATATCTCTTAGGATGATGGGTATGGAAGAGAGGAAAAATTTGGAGAAAGGACGAAGTGGATATGTGTGATTGTGTATCCTATAAAGAAGGTGATTAGATTTGCCGCAGCAAACTGGTATAGTACTTCTATTGCTTGAGTACTTAATACTTCAGTACCAACTAAAAAACACAGAGAATTAGGTTTTTTTAATTTTTTTATTTTTTTATTTTTTATTTTATTTTTTTTTTCTAAAAGATGACCGGTAAGGGGATCTTAACCCTTGACTTGGTGTTGTCAGCACCACGCTCACCCGGTGAGTGAACCGGCCATCCCTATATGGGATCCGAACCTGCGGCCTTGGTGTTATCAGCACCGCACTCTACCGAGTGAGCCACGGGCCGGCCCAGGTTTTTTTTTAGCATTATCTGCTAGTTATATAGATGAAGGAACATATCTTACAGATTTTTTTGTTGTTGGGTGAAGACGGGAGGGAATGTTACCTAAAATAATAAGGTCGATTTTATTTTATTTATTTTTTGTGGCTGGTGGGTATAGGGATCTGAGCCCTTGACCTTTGTGTTATCAGCACCACGCTCTAACCAGGTGGGCTAACTAGCCAGCCCTAAGGCTGTTTTTAGATAAACAGACCAAGCCTAGACATTCAAATAAGCTTAGTTCCCTTCAAAGCTGTCATCCTAAAATCATATATATGCCTTTTTTTTTTTGGTGCTGCTTTTGCTCAGAATCGTTTTGGATCTCCTGAAACCACTTTCCAAACTTGCATGTTTAGGTTATTCTAATAGCAAATTTTTGGTTATTAAGGATGGATTCGATTTTTGGAAGTGGCAAAAGGGCGGGAACGCCGCCGCGCTTCCCAAGCGGCGCACTGTAGCAGTGCGCCACCGGGCCGGCCCGGCAAAAGCCATTTTGAGTGAAGTGATTATGTTGGGTGATTGAACGTGTGATATCAAGGAAATTCCAAATATACCGAACAGTGGAACTAACTAAAATAAATATGAAGTTTACAAAGTATATCTTAAAGGGTAATTTTCATGTTTATGTATAAGCTCTAGTAGGTTGATGTAATGTCATTAAAATAACATTTACAGCTTATTTGCTGCAGATGATTAATTATTGGAGTTGAGGGTGGGATAAATCCTAACCCAGGTTCCCATTACTTTTTAAAAAAATTAATTAATTGTTTTGGGTGGCTGGCTGGCTTACACCCATTACTTTTACATGTGTTGATCTATCTTTTGCAATCCTGGGCAGTTTAATGAGTGTATATACCGTGCCTATTTCCTCACCTCACATTAGTTTGCACCTGTCCAAAATGATGGAGCAGTAAGGGCTGAGTTTAATATAGGGTGTGATTATCTTAGGGAAAAGAAAAATAGTTGGTAAAACAGTTAAGATTGTCCTACTTAGATACCAAGACTGTAAGGAGTAGCCAGGATGTATTTGAAACATACTTAGGGAACAAGCAGAAACTGCCAGTCAATATCTCTTCACCCTGCTGGCTCCAAAGTAACTGCCTGGTGTCCACTTTGTGCAGTATCTGTCCATGAATGAGTAAAGCCATTGTGACAAAGGCTCTTTTGTTGCCTTTCTGACAAGTAAGAGGTGGGAGTTGGGGAGCTTTCCTTAGCCTTGGGCTGGAGGATGTTAAATCCCTTGGCACAGGTCATCAGGAAGAAGAAGTAGAAAATAAAAACCTCATGTGGGAAATTAGTAATTGATGAAAGGAAAATTACCCTGAAATCAAGAGTTCTCAAAAATTGTTTATCTTGTTACATTAATATCTTACCATCTGGCCCTTTCTTGTGGTGTGCTGTCTAAACCTCCTGATATCATACACGTGTGTTATAAATGCTACAACAAAGCCAGCTAAAAACCCATTACTTGGACAGATACTCTTCCAGAATCTACTAAATTAACTTCAACTCTAAACGTATTGTTGGCATTGGAATCTGGTTTTTTGGTTTTTTTTTAAAGAACTGGAGCAAGTTAGTTTATTTATTTTGTGGCTGGCCAATACGAGAACTTGAACCCCTGACCTTGATGTTGTAGCACCGCCCTCTAACCAGCTGGGCTAACTAGACCCGGGTCTCATTTAAGAAGCCATGTCCAGTGGAGCTTTTGTAGGACCACACAGTATTACACAAATGGGAGGTTAAGAAATGTTCTAATTTTATATCTAAAGTTAATTAGCAGCTCTAAGTGGAAGAGGACTTTTCCTGTCCTTTGGTACAGTGTCTGGTGTTCAGTCTAGATGTGGACTCCTGAGTTATTTACATACTGTCCTCTGAATGATGTGCAGGCTTCCAGCTTAACATTCAAGAGCTCACACAGCAGTGACTAGATGATCTTAGTGCGAGGGAAGCCCTCCCCTCTTTGGAATAAAGTGTAAGAGTCTTTGGGAAGAGGAACATTCTTCCATGAGTTAAGTGCGCTTCTTCTTGGAATGAATGATTGCCAGAGTGACCCAGCGTGGTCTCTAGCCTTCCCCTGAGATGTGGTCTGCCTTGTTTATTGTTTTATTCCCCCATCCAATGTAGTGCTTGACTCAGGCTGCCCAGCAAATATTTGTTAAATGGATGATAGAAGTAAAATTGGTTCAGTATTATGAATTCCTAAGTACCTTGTAAATGTTTGATGATTGTTTTATCCTAATTATACCGAAATATTGTGTCTTCTGACCTTTTGATGTCAGATTTGGGCATTATTAATTTGGGAGTGTGAAGGAGAAAAATGCTTCAATTTATTTCAGAGGAGAAAAATGATAGCTGGAAAGTAATGGAACCTGCTAGCAGTCCAAAAGGAATATCTTAGTTGTCTTGAAGTTGAGCCTGAGTCTATCATACCTACTACTCTCAGGGAGAATTTTTTTATCATAGAACCCTGCAGTAGTTATGAAAAATCCAAATTACAGTGGTGAAATTGGAAGTTCCGGGAGTTGACTGGGGGTGGGAAACGTTGTCAGAGGAAAAGGATGTCCTTGCAGTCGCTCAGTTCCAGAGGCACACTGCCTGAGAGAGAGGCAGAGGCATGGACTGGAAGAGGCTGGGAGGAAGTGGCCTGAGAATCCTTCAAGCTAAGAAGCATCCCGCAGTGGGTATTTCATTCAACCACTCACTCAGCACACATTTACTGAGTCCCAGCTGTGCGGTTGGCGGGCTGTCCACTTTGTTGTGATGAGGGCAGCGTCACTCCGACATGTCGGTTCAAGAACTGGCAGCTGAAGAACACACTCCCCTCATGCGCAGGAACCAATAACATGGGGAAGAGGAGGGAGATACAGTCCTGACCCCCAAAGGGGGGCATGTGAGGACACGTGGATAATCCAGGAGCATCAGGAGGAGGCCAGAGTGAGAGGCGGAGCACTGGCAGGCATCCTGAATCATTTCAAGGCTTTCGCCTTTTAAAGGTAGAGCCCACCTGAGGTTTGATCAGCCTTGGCAAAGGACAGCAGTCCACATTTGCTGTGAGCGGGGGAATAGCCTTTCATATTCATATTTGCTTCTTTGTCTATTTGGGTGATCATTGTCAGGAATCTGTATATCTCAGGGAAAGAAGGGATGGGGTAGGTTTTTGAAGACAAGTTCCAAGACACTCCCTCCCTCCCCCAACAAGAAAAAAAACAGACCAAATCTTTCTGTTAATGGCAGCTAAATAGAAGGGCAGGTGGGTTTCCCTTGTCACTCATGCTGGCATGAGTGTCAATCCCTGGGAGAGTGCCAGCCAGTGTGGGGTAACTGGTCACCAGCAGTTGCTTTGTATGCCACTGCAGTAACTGTCACTAGCACAGAAGATGCAGGCAAAGATGAGGGGGTTAACTGTGCTGTGGGTTTGAGTAACCACAGATGAAAACCAGAGCTCACTCAGCTAAAAAGAAGAGTTACTAAGCTTTCCCCTGCATTTGTGAGATGCCATCATAAGCTAGTGTGATGATAAAACGCCTGTAACACCAATCTTGGCAGCCCATGTTAAATTGCTGAAGCTGAGATCTTTTCTAGGGGTTAATAAATGGACTTGACCCAAAAATACAAATTTAATAGGGCTGGCTGGTTAGCTCCGTTGGTTACAGTGCCACCCTATAACACCAAGGTCAAGGGTTTGGATCCCTGTACCAGCAAGCTGCCAATAAAACAAAAACAAAACTACAAATTTTTCCGTTTCAGAGATGTGAATACAGCTGTGATGGAGCTGTTGATCATGGCTTATGCACTGAAGACCGCCTGTGCCAGGAATATTATTGGAGTCATCCCTTACTTCCCCTACAGCAAGCAAAGCAAGATGAGAAAGAGGGGCTCCATTGTGTGCAAGCTCTTAGCGTCCATGCTGGCGAAAGCAGGTGAGTGTGAACAGACCTGGGGTTCCAGCACTATTGTTCAGGATTCTTCCCTATTTTGAGATTAGTTCATACTTTGCATATCTAGTTTGGGACCTACTTTCTTTACATGTTGTTTGCTGATTACTTTTTCTTATTTGTTCCCTTTTGCATAGTTTGGTTAGGGATATGTGTGCTTAGGTATAAGTTCTTATTTTTTTCTTTTCTCCTTACTTTAGAATAGCATTGCTTCAGTGTTTTCTACTCTGTAGTCATGGGCTGTCCATTTTAATTGTTCTGTCACTTCTTTTCCATTTCATCTTAATCATTAAAGTTTTCCCTGGCAGTCTTGACATTTGAATGTGACCTTTTGAGCTTCAGGTCTAGATTTATGTATTTGCCTTAGTTAGCTAAATACTATTTAAGACCATAGTATTAAAACTGGATTTTCAGCCAGCTGCCAAAAAAAAAAAGGAACACTTCTTAAACCATTCCTTTATCACATAAATTATTCCAAACTTCAGAATCTTATCTTTGTGTTATATGAATCTCTTTTCTTCTAAAATGTATATTACTTTGCTTTTGCTTTCTTATTTCTTCCTACTTAAGCCACAGTTCTTAACATTTCTTCCTAGATTCTTTAATCAAGGCCTTACCATTTTTTACATCTTTTATTGCTTTGGTATTTATTAATTCCATATTCATATTTTTGCTTCTAGCTGATTTTTCTTTTCTCAGTTTTCAGGACCAAGCTAATAACAGCAGTAGAGGAGAACGTGCTTTTCTCCGCTTTAGTTCTTTGTCTGTGTGGAAGGTTATAGGCTCTTTCACATTAGGCTTGACTCACTCTTTAGTTCACTAAGTTGTGTTGAGGGTAGCAATCAAGTCTGTAACTACTGTGCTTGTTCACGGTATCCTCTGCTTTCAGTCTTCTGGTAGGAAACAGGAGTTGAGCGTCTAGTTTGTGTCCACTGTCGCCATTAACTTGTAGGGGTGAACTTTGTAATTTTTTGTTTTAAAATTTCAGGTTTAACTCACATTATCACTATGGATCTTCATCAAAAGGAAATACAAGGCTTTTTCAGCTTTCCAGTGGACAACCTTAGAGCCTCACCTTTCCTGCTTCAGTATATCCAGGAAGAAGTGAGGAGCCACCAGCAAACACCCCAATGTCCTCAAAAGAGATCCTATTTAGTTTTTCTCTGTTATCAGATTTCAATATTGAAAGGCACATCAAATGATTTTTCCCTTAAGTCTTAATGCCTGAGGCAGCCAGATAGGGTTCGCATTTAGTCATAGAGGATCATATCTTTAGAAGACATTAAAAATGGATTTCCTTCTAAGTATCTTTAGCAGTTTGCTTGTGTTTTCTAGAATGAAAACTTTTTTATCTCTTGATGTAGCAGTATTTTTGCAACGATGTCAATTGATAAATGTTGAAAAATTTTAAATGTGTGAATGAAATTCTAGCATATTAGCTAGTTTGGATCATTGATATATGAGGAACAAATGTATTACTAGCATCTAGGTGTTATTTTTTTCAGTATTTTCTATTTTTCCTCCAAATCTAGATTCCAAATTACAGAAATGCAGTCATTGTAGCCAAGTCTCCTGATGCCGCAAAAAGGTAAGTAAGGCAGACATTTGTAAAAATCCCCTCTAAGTGCTTGTGAGTCAGAATTAGCTGTTTTGGAATCCAGGGGTCATAACGTGGCCTATAATAGCTCACTGGCTCAAGTTTCCCCACGTCCTTGTCATATTCCACACCACAGCTTTCTAGCCTCCAAACAACACAAGTGGGTCTCTGAATAACTCTGCTTTCCCTTGGGAGAAAATGAAGTTCTCCTTCAGGTTCTCAGGAAAAGGAGAACAGTGAGGCTCTGAGAATTTTTCAGGCAATTTCTTTTCTTTTTTTTTGGCAGCTGGCTGGTATGGGGATCCAAACTCATGACCTTGGTGTTATAAGGCTGTGCTCTAACCAACTGAGCTAACTGGCCAGCCGGGTGATGGTTTTTTTGTTTGTTTGTTTTGTCAGCTGGCTGGTAGGCAGTGGTTTTTAAGACACCTTTTAGAACAAAGTTCTTTCTTCTGAAAATGACTGTTAGAATATTGGACAAAGGAGAGGACCAAAATGATCTAGAATTACATACTAGCCCAGACCCCAACTCATGTGCCACTGAAGGCATTTACATTCTGTCCTGGGCCTCACATTCTGATTTATATCAATAATTTTTTGTGTGTTCCTGAAAAGTTGAATGATATTTTCATTTCATGATTAATAGAGTGATGAAATAGTGATGCTTTGGTTTCCTCCTATCAGTTTCACCATTTCTCTCTTTCTCTTAGGGCCCAGTCATATGCTGAAAGACTGCGTCTGGGTTTGGCTGTAATCCACGGAGAAGCTCAGTGTACGGAGCTGGACATGGATGATGGGCGTCATTCTCCCCCCATGGTCAAAAATGCTACTGTGCATCCAGGCCTGGAGTTGCCGTGTAAGATTAGCTCTGTGTTTTTATTTTATTTGTAAACTGAAGAAAGTTTTAATCAGTGTAAATGGCTAGGAGTTAACACCTATGGGCATGTATGCTGTCTTGCTATTTTTAATTAATTGGATGGTATTGCATCGATTTCTCCCTTTGTAAAAGGGAAGTGCGTGTGTTACACACATTTGTAGTCAGTATAAGGACGGCTGAGCTAATCTGGGTAGCACTTCGCATTCAGAGAGTGTTAAATTTAACTTTAGTAAAAAAGCTGTGTGAAATCTTAATTTTATATTTTGGTAAGGTAGGTGATAGCTATTGAGGTTTTGGCCATCAGGTAACTTTAGCATTTATTTTAGTAATAGCCCTTTGACCTCATACCCAACTAACTTGCTGTTATTAATCCAACCATGTGGAAACTATTTACTTCCGGGGACTTTTTTTTTTTTTTTTTTTTTTTTTTTGGTGGCTGGCCAGTACAGAGTAGAGGGTAATAACTAACATTCTTTAGTGGAAAATATGTTTAAGGTTTTAGATGGAGATTATTTCTTTTTAAAATCTGTATCTGTTTGCCATGCCCCAGAAATAGAGATTAGGGCTGGCAGGTTAGCTCAGTTGGTTAGAGAGCAGTCTTGTAACACCCAAGGTCAAGGGTTCAGTTCCCAATACCGGCCAGCTGCCAAAAACACCCCCAAAAAACAAAAATACAGATTAATAGTAAGGTGAAGAAATGTTAGAATAGTTACACCTCAGTTATTTCAGACAGACACCTGTGTATAAGCATTCTTATTTTCTTTTCCACTCTGTAAATTTTATTACATTGTTTTTTTAATTTAAATTTTTGGTATTAGCATTTTATTTACTTTTTGAGAGTTTTATAATTAGGTCCCATGCATGAATGGGGACACAGACCCCATGGAGCTTATTACTATGGCCCAGACTTCCTGATCTCAGCCCATATCTAAGGGGAGAGGCAGCAGGACTGGCTTGAGGGTCCATTGTGATTATCCTTGGGGGTTCAAGGGTAAGGACTTCCCCCAGTTCCAACTCAGCACATTCTTTTTTTTTTTTCCTTTTTGTCTTTTTTACTGACCGGTAACGGGATCACAACCCTCGGTGTCGCACCCATACCAGGGACCGGCAACGGGATCGCAACCCTCAGTGTTGCGCCCGCACCGCGCTCAGCCAGTGAGTGGGAACCGGTCTCCACATGGGATCCGAACCCTCGGCGGGAGCACCGCCGCACTCCCAAGCGGCACACTCTCCAGTGCACCACCGGGCCAGCCCAACATAATTAAACATTCTTGAATAAATGATACATTCGCATATTTCAGAATTCGAAAAATAGAAAATCTTTTACAATGCAAAGCCTCCTGGCCTCCCACAAACTTTCTTCTTCCCCCAGGTACTCATGTCTCCAATCCGGTTGGTTTCTGGTATATCCATTCAGAGGCCTTATGGATATATAAGCAAATATGAGGGCACTTCAAAAAGTCGTGGAGAAATAGAATTAAAAGATATACGAACCTTTCCATGAACTCTTTGAGGATCACCTCATACTTCTTTTTCTCTCATTTCTACACACTTCTTTGGTGGCTGTCCTGTACAGGGATCTGAACCCTTGCTGGACCTTGGTGTCACAACACTGTGCTCTAACCAACGGAGCTAACCGGCCAGCCCTTCTCAGTTCCACACAGATGGCAGTATTGCTCTGCCCCCTTGCTCTTTTCATTCATTAGCTCCTTTCCTGTCAGTACATACAAACTTCTGTCTTTTTAACAATTTCATAGTATTCTATTTTAAGGATATACCATAATTTATTTACTTTGTAAGTAAAGAACATTGGTTTTTCACTAAGACTTTTTTTTTTTTTTGTCCTTTTTGAGACTGGCCGCACCGCGCTCACCCAGTGAGCGCACCGGCCATCCCTATATAGGGCCATCCCACGGGCTCGGCCCTTCACTAAGACTTTATATCTTGAGGATATAACTAAACTGTTACCACCCCTCATCCCATCTCGAAGGGTTCGTATAGTGAATGTTATAAAGCAGATATGAACAGTTTGAAGGATTGGAACCAATATTAACTGACAAAGAACTTACATCTAAATCATCATTAAAAAAAGAAAAGAAAAAAAGGGGAACAAGGGGGGTTTCAGATTGAACAAGATCCTCACATTTCATCTAATACATTGTCTTGGCTAGAGTGTAACAAAATGGAAAGAGGATTGCTGTAATACAAAACTTGCACCACAGTAAGCTATACACTCCTGTGTTCCAAGCACATCCCCGTTCTCCTAATGCTCCCAGCTCAATTAGTTCTGGGCCTGTTGTGCCTGCTCATAAATGAGCACGTAGATCTTTAACCCACTCTTTGTTATAGGCTGGCGTCAGGGTATCAGCTTGGTAAACAAGGCAGCTGAGGTCTGCCAGATCATTGGTAAAATCAAACAACTGACTGATGTCATGTGTGATAGAGGGACTGTTGGGATTCACTATCTTCAGATGTTCTTCATACGCTTTACAGATGCCTTCCATGCATTCACTCACTGATTCACAGTCAGTGGAAGTTCTGCCTCTGGCCTTCTGGTAGGCTGTACCAGCAAAATGGTGGGAGTCGTTGCGCCAAACTTCCCACTGCAACCACTGCCAACACTGCTGCACCTGAGCTTAGCTGCAGCGCCACCAGCCTACCACGATCTATTTAATCAGTCCCCTGTTGATGGACAGGTAGGGTTTTGTTTTTTTTTCAATCTTACACTGAAAAACAAAGCTCTAGTAGTAATACACATCTATTGAGCTCTGATTACATGCAAAGAGCTGTTCTGAGTGCATTAATAGGTCACTGCAGTTGGTCCTCAACCTTCTGTCTAGAGACTTTTATTATTTCTCATTCTTTCAACCAGGAAACAGACCCACAGCCAGGAGCAGGTAAATCCAAGGTTTGGAATAAAGCGTCTGGCTCCAGAATCCACACTTCGTTTTTCTTAGCTTTTTATTTTGAACTAGAGAGAAGTTGAAAGAATAATACAGACTTCCACAATACTCTTCACTCAGTCTCCAAATTTAACATTTATATACATATTATTATTTTTTGTACCGTTTGAGAGTGGGTTGTGGATATAATGCCCCTTTATTCCTAAATACTTTAGTGTATACTTCTAAAAACAAAAGACTCTCTTACATAATTAATCAGACTCAGGAAACTAATGTTATAATACTATTATCTACAGGCCTTATTCATATTTTACCAATTGTCTCACCAATGTCCTGTAGAGCAAAAGAAAAAACCTTTTTTTCTGGTCTAGGACCTAATCCAGGGTCACATGGCATCTAGTTGTCATTTCTCTTTAGTCTCATTTAATCTGGAATGGCTCCTCTGTTCTTTGTTTCTTATGACCTTGATACTTTTGAACAGTACAGGCCCGTTATTTTGTAGACTGTCCCTTAATTGGTGCTTGTTTGTGTCCTCATGATTAGATTCAGGTTTGCACTTTTGGCAGCACTGTCACAGGAAACACGTGATGTGTCTCATTACTGGCGATGTTGATTTTTGATCACTTGGTTAAAGTGGTGTCTGGCAGGCTTCTTCACTGTAAAGTTACTCTTTTTTCCCTTTGTAATTAATAGTAACATATGTTAAGACTATGCAAATATCCTGTTTCTCATCAAACTTAGCATCTGTTGATGGTTCTTGCCTGAACAATTATTACTGTGATTGTTGTCAAATGGTCATTTTTCTGATTCCATCGTTCCCTCTATATTTAGTAGTTGACATTCTAGTGTAAGAAAGTGTTTCCTTCTTCTCTGTTCATTCACTCATTTATATCAGTATGGATTCATAGAATCTCATTTTATTCAGTGGGTTATAATCCATTGCTATTATTTAATGTTCAAATTGTTTCAGACTTTTCTTTTCTTTTTTTTTTTTTTTTTTGGTCTTTTTGTCTTTTTCCGTGTCCGGCAACGGATTGCAACCCTCAGTGTTGCCCCCGTACCGGACCAGGGACCGGCAACGGGATCGCAACCCTCGGTGTTGCTCCTGCGCCTCGCTCAGCCAGTGAGCGGGAACCGGTCTGTATGTGGGATCCGAAC